TGCTATTTTAATGTATTTCGCGTCGTTGTAAATATAATTCAACGTTTATTGTTTTTATTTTTATTTTCACAGCTGAATAAACAATTATCCCAAAATAAATACTTATAAAGAATATTATAAAACTGAGAAACATTTTCTTTGATATATCTACTTATAAAGTATTTATTATTATTGTATTGATATATCTACTTATAAAGTATTTATTACGCTAGTTTTAATAAATTTAAAGACGATAAGCTTTCAGATTGATTAGTCTTTAGTAGGTATTTTTAGGATATTTTTTAATGATTAGAACTATATTTCACTATTTAAATCAAGCATCTATAAAACATATTAATGTACAATTTTGTAAATATCTAACTCGAGAATTTTTACAAATATGATCAAGCTATCTTGTGATAAGTAGGTATCTAAAAGATACATCAAAAACAAGGTTATTTAAGTGAGATGGGAAAGTGTTTACTCGACCCGTTTTGTCTATAAAGAACAAATAATAAACATTGACAGAACATATGAAAGTTCCTTTAATATATCGAAATCAAACTGAAGTCATATATATTTTTATGATTCATATTTCATTCATTTTGATCAGTCATTTTGTTATGACTAATAAATGTCTCATACTTGCTGATTTTTGGATTATTCACACATATTAACTAGCTATGTACTATTAAGATCATATACTTAATGTAGGTACATACACACATAGATGGCTAATAACTGTTCTGTCTTTTGTGTAAGTAGTGAAGTTGCTTTAACTAAATATATGTGTACTTACTAATTAACTTTTTCAATTGAACACCACTGTTATAGGAACATCTGGTGAGCTTTTGGAGGTCTGCTGCTCTGTGTCACAACCGCTGGCGCTGGGAACCTAAAAACAGTTTACATATACGGTCGTAACCTCACTGCAAGCCGCTTAAACGCCATGACGGCGGCGTTATGAAGAAAATATAGGTTGTCATTTGTCTTTTTTCCCAACGCTTGATTAAAAATATTGTTAGGCTCATTTATCGGAATTTTACAAATTTTATCACAAACTTCATATTTTAACCAACAATTTAAGCGCAGTCTAAAGTTCGAGTCCCGGTGACGCTAATTAGTATATAAGCGGTAAGTACTCTCTCGATTTTATATCAGAGTACTGTGACGTGTATTCTAGGGACAATTGTCTTTCTCTATTGCTTTTTCTTTAGATTATTTTAAAATTTTTAACAACAGCATACTTTCTAAATAAGCCCCCGCGTGGAACTATTTACACGCCGCCTCACCAGTAGTAATATCTGTAGTAGTAGAAATGTACTTTTCACATACATATCTATAATATATAAAGCTTAATTACCACTCACTGACTCACTCACTCACTCCATGCTTTTTTCGGGTAGAAAGAGTGGGAAAATGATGTTTTCATGTATGGAGACTGACAATATATTTTTTTAATGAGTTGAAATGGTATTCCTATGCAGCCAAAAAACAAAATGGCGGCGAGATAATTTTTTTAATTTCTAAAGTATACACTCTACGGTAACGATATTCAAAATGGTCGTAGATTTGGCTAAAAAAATTAGACTGCAAAAAGGTTTGTTTAAAAAAACAAAATGGCGGCCGAGATATTTCACCTGGAAATTTGGCATTTTTCGACCTCTGTTCGGGCGATCGTCGATTGTTTTTTTGTGAGTGCGGAGGGGGAATTTTTGCTCCTTCAGCTCGGAAGTATAGTCGATTTTCACGTAGGGGGAGTTTTCATTTGCTTGTCAATATGGCGGCGGCGGAGGCGGCCATTTTGTTTCGGCAATGAAAAACTGCCATTTTCCAGTGAGATTTTCTCCAAGATGGCGGCGTCGGACGGATTCGCGTTCTATGGGCCGGTCGTGGGGCTCGGTGGGTTCTTTCTACTTCACTACCGATTTCTACCATTTTCGTGGTAGTTTAGGAGATTTTGGGAGAAAAGTGAAATTTAGAAATACGCACTTTTCGGGAAAAACAGACTCGATGCGGTGTGGTGCCGGAAGAGTCCTATGACTTTTGGTAATTTTTGTTTCTGCGAGCTGACAACCCTGGGCTCCACGGTAGAAAATATTTTTTTCGACATGCCCTCATAACCCGAATTGTTTGGGAACCTGGGTGGCCAGCGCAGAAAATCTGTGAATGAGGTGTCACGCCAAATATAGTCGTGACTATGGGAAAATTATGAAACTCGCGAAAATCAATATGGCGGCGGCGGCAGCGGCCATTTTGTGATTTTTTCACTTTTTCGAAAAATTCAAACGCACTTTTAGCTCACATGGCAACATTGTAGCTCTTCGCTTGGTAAAGACCGGTCGTTAGTCTCCGCCGGCTCCTTCGAATGAGGTGAAAATTTTTCCCGATTTTAGGGTAATTTCGGAGATTTACCCCAAAAAGGTGAAAAGTAGAAGGAGCCGTTTTGGGATTTCAAAAATGAATTTCCTCGACGGAGGGCACTCCCCGAAATAACATTTGGCCATTTTCAACGTCGACACCTGGCAACCCTGGTAGGAGCAGCGATTTGAAAAATTTTGCCCATTCTTTACTTTGTCGACTCTAGCGCAGTCGGTATTGCCACTAGGAAAATGGTAAAAAGTGCATCGGATGCGCTATGGAGTTGGCCACACCGGTACGGAGCCGGATTTTCAAAATTCAAGATGGCGGCCAAACCAGCGGCCGTTTTATCTGGAAAATTGGGTATCGTCACCGCATCGAGCCGATTTTGACGCACTTGGCGTAATTTGTCAGAATACTTCCGGGGAAAGAATTTTTAGGCAAGTAGCTGAGGTGTTGCCAAGTGAAAAAAAATCTTGAAAATTTTTGATACTTTATGAGATTTTTGAGGAAACAATTTTTGTCGAATTTTTGAACTTTTTTGATGCAAATAATTTAATTTTAACTTTTCAAGATACCCGATGGAAAAAATAGAACGATCGACTGGCTACACTGAGAGCAAACAACGTTTGAAATTCAACCTCGATTTTGACTGACTTGTCAACCCCGCAGGTATTTGGTATGTATGGAGCGATTGCCCATCTCTATAGACTCTTTCATGTGGTGGAAAAAAATTACCCGATTTTAGGGTAGTTTTTGAGATTTACCCCAAAAACTGAAAGTGTCAAAGGAACAATTTTAGAACTTGAAAATTGGTATCCGACGATGAAGGGCGCATCCCGGAATCACATTTGACTGTTTTCATCGCCTACATCTGGCAACCCCGGCAGCTACGGCGGTTTGAAAGTTCAATGCCCACTATTCACGTTTTGGACTCTAGCGCAGTCAATATAGCCGCTAGGAAAATAGTAAAAACTGCGTTGGATGCGCTAATAGGTGGGCTATATAGATCTGAGATTGAAATTTCAAAATTCAAGATGGCGGATTAAATAGCGACAATTTTATCTAGAAAATTGATCTTTTTTCACGACTTTCACTCTATAGAGCTGATTTTGGCGTTTTTGGTAACATTTTTAAGAATACTTCTAACAAAAAATATGTATTCAGCTGAAATGTTGCCAGATGAAAAAAATCTGTAATTTTCTTTATACAGGGATTTTTTGAGAAACTTTCATGTATGTCTTTATGAAAAATATTAAAATATCTTTTTACAGTGATTTCACTGTTTAACAAAATTTTTACTGTTGCATTTATAACATAATTGGTGGAATAATTTGAGTGATCGACTAGCAACACTGATAGTAGTCACCATATTAATTTCAGAATGATTCTGACCGAGCTGGCGACTCGGGAGCTTTATAGCATATATGTATAGACCGTTTGTGTATCTTTACCTCATCTTTACGTGGTGAGAAAAAAAACCACTATTTTAGCCAGAAAAATAAAGCGAGCGAGACATTGTCATTCGGTTGGATTAGAACTGTGACTAAAACAAAAAGCAAGCGAAGCGAGCCATAAAAGATGACCATTTAGAGAGATTTCATTAATTCGTAAGGTTAGAACTGTGACTAAAATAAAATGCGAGCGAAGCGAGCCATAAAGAACACCATCACTATAAATCTGATGAACCAGTTAGATTAAAAGGCGAGCGAAGCGAGCCATAATGCGAGACCATTAAAAGAGACCTGATCAATCGGTTATGTTAGCACTGTGCCTAAAACAATAAGCGAGCGAAGCGAGCCATAAAGAGTGACCATTTAGAGAGATTTGGTTAATTGGTAAGGTAAGAACTGTGACTAAAATAAAATGCGAGCGAAGCGAGCCATAAAGAACCCCATCAATAGAGGCCTGGTCAATCAGTTAGATTAGAACTGCCAATAAAACAAAAAGCGAGCGAAGCGAGCCATAATGCCAGACCATTAAGAGAGACCTGATCAATCGATTATGTAAGTACTGTGTCTTAAACGAAAAGCGAGCGAAGCGAGCCATAAGGAGTAACTGTGAAGAGAGATTTGGTTATTTGGTAGGGTTAGAACTATGACTAAAATAAAATGCGAGCGAAGCGAGCCATAAAGAACACCATCAATAGAGACCTGGTCAATTGATTAGATTAGAACTGCGAAAAAACAAAAAGAAAAAGCGAGCGAAGTGAGCCATAATAAAATGGAGACCTGGTCATTCGGTTAATGAACTGTGACTAGAAAATGTATAATTTTTCACGGTTTTTACTTTATAGAGCTGATTTTGGCATTATTGATAACATTTTTCAGACTACTTACAGAAAAAAAATGTATTTAGTTGAAGTGTTGCCAGATGATAAAAAACTGTTTTTTTTTGATACTTTAATTTTTAGGAAATTTTCTATTGAATAAGAATAAAAGACTATAACGCGATCTATACAACATTTATTTTAAGTTTTCTTTACGTTTTTCAACTGAATATTTCTTTTTATATTGCGTGTAAACTAGCAACCTTTTTTTTATGTATGATGTTTTGCGTACTTAAAGATCTTTTATTTGAAGATAGAACTTTCTAACTTTTTCTAGGCAATTTTATACTGTAAACCCAACATAACAAGAGGCGGTCTTAAAACTCCAATATCTGTATTAACTAAATATTAACTTACTTTTGAATAAGAATTAGAGAATAAATGACTACAAGCCGATCTATTCCAAATTTTATTTTAGTTTTGCTTGCATTTTTCAACTGAATGTTTCTTTTTCTATTTAGCGTAAACTGGCAACCCTTTTACTTTGTCGTATGGAGCTTTGTGTACTTAAACATAATTTATTTGAAGATAGAACTCACTAACTTTTGCTAGGCAATTTCAAACTGTAAACATAACAAGAGGCGGACCTAAGATCCCACCGCTCCGATTCCACAAGCGACTCGTTTATGCTCAAGAACTTTACAATAAGTAAAGCAACAAAAACTTGTATAGGTTTATTATGACATATCGGTTAGGTTAGGTTAGTATATGAAAAACAACGCACGAGCCGAGCGAGCGCAGCGAGCGTGCCGCGGCAGCGGCCGGCGAAGTGCCAGAAACGAATCGCTTTTGTTGATGGTAACATTTGGTTTATAAGGTTTAAAAGATGATCGTGACCATTTTTATTTCAATTTTGATTTCGATGGACTTGACAATTCGGGATCTCTGTAGCGTGTATATATGGATCATTTGTGTAGGTATCTTAATTCCACACTTTCTCATAGGTAAGTATGGAGAAAAGAAAATCCAATTTTTGACACGATATTTAATACTTAAAATATATTTTTCTATACTTTTAGATTATTGAGAAAACATGTTCTTTTGATATTCAAAATGAAAGTGTTCTACGTAGGTATGAGTTTGAAATTTGATATTTATTTATTTGGTGTATTATTTAAGGTAACAATGGGGGAAATATCTACTCGATCCTTTTTCATTCATACTAAATATAAACTTACTATTGAATAAGAATAAGAGACTATAATTTTTTTAGAGTTTTGCTTGCGTTTTTCGACTGAATATTTCTTTGTCTGTTAAGCGTAAACTGGCAACCCTTTTTCTTTGATGTATGGTGCTTAAACACCTTTCATTTGCAGACAGAACTTACTAACTTTTTTTGGCGATTTCATACTATAACACAAACAACAAAAAAAAAAAACGAAAAACTCAAATTCTGCAACGGAGGCGGACTTAAAACCCCGCCGCCCCGATTCCACTAGCTACTGTGACTTGCCAACCTTGTTGGGCAACCAAGCGAAAGCTTCTATTCTGAAACGAAGGCGGACTAAACCCCATCGCGTCGTGAATTAATCTATTCTAATATGGCCACGACATCGGTTCCCTTTTCATATAATAAATAAATCTTACATAAATAATGTAATGTAATAATGCAATTGACATTTAATTGATTAATTAATGATAGTAACACTGATGGAAATATATGTTCGATTGTTTTTTAATATTATACAGTAATTTACTAATAAATAAGAATAAGAGAATAAAAGACAAAACTTATTTTAAGTATATATACAAAATTTATTTTAAGTTTTACTTGCGTTTTTCGACTGAATATTTCTTTTTCTATTAAGTGTCAACTGGCAACACTTTTTCTTTGATGTATGGTGATTTGTGTCCTTTAACACCTTTTTACAGTGATTTCACTGTTTAACAAAATTTTTACTGTTGCATTTATAACATAATTGGTGGAATAATTTGAGTGATCGACTAGCAACACTGATAGTAGTCACCATATTAATTTCAGAATGATTCTGACTGAGCTGGCGACTCGGAAGCTTTGCATATATAGACCGTTTGTGTATCTTCACTCTATCTTTACGTGGTGAGAAAAATATTCAAATATTTTCGCCAGAAAAATAAAGCGAGCGAGACATTATCATTCGGATAGATTAGAACTGTGACTAAAATAAAAAGCGAGCGAAGCGAGCCATAAAGAGTGACCAATTAGAAAGATTTGATTAATTGGTAAGGTAAGAACTGTGACTAAAATAAATAAAATGCGAGCGAAGCGAGCCATAAAGAACACCACCAATAGAAATCTGGTCAATCAGTTAGATTAGAATTGTCAATAAAACATAAAGCGAGCGAAGCGAGCCATAATAAATGGAGACCTGGTCAATCGTTTAAGGGACTGTGACCAAAATAAAGAGCGAGCGAAGCGAGCCATAATACGAGACCATTTAAAGAGACCTGATCAATCGGTTATGTAAGCACTGTGACTCAAACAAAAAGCGAGCGAAGCGAGCCATAAAGGTTAACTATTAAGAGAGATTTGGTTAATTGGCAAGGTTAAAACTGTGACTAAAATAAAATGCGAGCGAAGCGAGAACACCATCAATAGAGGCCTGGTCGATCAGTTAGATTAGAACTGTCAATAAAACATAAAGCGAGCGAAGCGAGCCATAATAAATGGAGACCTGGTCAATCGTTTAAGGGACTGTGACCAAAATAAAGAGCGAGCGAAGCGAGCCATAATACGAGACCATTAAAAGAGACCTGATCAATCGGTTACGTTAGCACTGTGTCTAAAACGAAAAGCGAGCGAAGCGAGCCATAAGAAATAACTGTTAAGAGAGATTTGGTTAATTGCTAGGGTCAGAACTGTGACTAAAATAAAGTGCGAGCGAAGCGAGCCATAAAGGACACCATCAATAGAGACCTGATCAATCGGTTAGATTAGAACTATCTATAAAACAAAAAGCGAGCGAAGCAAGCCATAATAACTGGAGACCTGGTCAATCGGTTAAGGAACAGTGACCAAATGTGTTTATAAGTGTGATATTTAGGTCTGAGGCTGAAATTTCAAAATTCAAGATGGCGGCTAAGACAGCGACCGTTTTATCTAGAAAATTTTTCATTTTTCACAAAATGTATTCAGTTGAAGTGTTACCGGATGATAAAAAACTGTTTTTTTTTTGATACTGTGATTTTAAGGAAATTTTCTATTGAATAAGAATAAAAGACTACAAGGCGATCTATACAACATTTATTTTAAGTTTTTCTTGCGTTTTTCAACCAAATATTTCTTTTTATATTGCGTGTAAACTGACAACCCTCTTTTTATGTATGATGCTTTGCGTACTTAAAGATCTTTCATTTGAAGATAGAACTTACTAACTTTTTCTAAGCAATTTTATACTGTAAGCCCAACATAACAAGAGGCGGACTCAATACCCCAATATCTCTATTAACTGAATATTAACTTACTTTTGAATAAGAATAAGAGAATAAAAGACTACGAGCCGATCTATTCCAAATATTATTTTAGTTTGCTTGCGTTTTGCATGCGTTTTGCAACTGAATGTTTCTTTTTCTATTTTGTGTAAACTAGCAACCCCTTTTCTTGGACGTATAGAGCTTTGTGTACTTAAACATAATTCATTTGAGATAAAACTTTTTCTAGGCAATTTCAAACTGTAACCCCACCGCTCCGATTTCACAAGCGACTCGTTTATGCTCAAGAACTTTGTAATAAGTAAAGCAACAAAAACTTGCATGGGTTTATTATAACATATGGGTTAGGTTAGGTTAGTGTATGAAAAACAACGCACGAGCCGAGCGAGCGTAGCGAGCGTGCCGCGGCAGCGGCCGGCGAAGTGCCAGAAACGAATCGCTTTTGTTGATGGTAACATTTGGTTTATAATGTTTAAAAGATGATCGTGTAAGGCTGACTATGAGAATTCCAGCCCGCGCAGTTACCGTTTTAATTTCAATTTTGATTTCGATGGACTTGATAATTTTTAACACGATATTTAATACTTATATTTTAAGTGTTTTTCTATTCTTTTAGATTATTAAGAAAACATGTTCTTTTGATCTACGTAGGTATTAGTTTGAAATTTGACATTTATTTATTTGGTGTATTATTTGAGGTAACATTGGGGGAAATATCTACTCGATCCTTTTTCATACTAAATATAAACTTACTATTGAATGAGAATAAGAGACTATAATTTATTTAGAGTTTGATTGCGTTTTTCGACTGAATATTTATTTTTCTATTGCGTGTAAACTATCAACCCTATTTCTTTGATGCATGGTATTTTGTGTACTTAACCACCTTTTATTTGAAGATAGAACTTACTAACTTTTTGTAGGCAATTTCAAACTATGAAACAAACATAACAAAAAATTGAATAACTCAAATTCTGCAACGGAGGCGGACTTAAAACCCTACCGCTCCGATTCCACCAGCTACTCGTTACCACTTTTTCTTTGATGTATGGTGCTTTGTGTCCTTTAACACCTTTTATTTGAAGATAGAACTTACTGACCTTTTCTAGGCAATTTCAGACTGTAAACCCGACATAATAGGCGGACTTGAAACCCCACCGCCCCGATTCCACCAGCTACTCGTGACCTCCCCGGGCTGCTCGCAGCCCGGGGCAACCAAGCGAAAGCTAGTCTATCTATAATATATAAAGCTTAATTACCACTCACTGACTCACTCACTCACTCCATGCTTTTTTCGGGTAGAAAGAGTGGGAAAATGATGTTTTCATGTATGGAGACTGACAATATATTTTTTTAATGAGTTGAAATGGTATTCCTATGCAGCCAAAAAACAAAATGGCGGCGAGATAATTTTTTTAATTTCTAAAGTATACACTCTACGGTTACGATATTCAAAATGGTCGTAGATTTGGCTAAAAAAATGAGACTGCAAAAAGGTTTGTTTAAAAAAACAAAATGGCGGCCGAGATATTTCACCTGGAAATTTGGCATTTTTCGACCTCTGTTCGGGCATCGTCATTTTTTTGTGGTGGGAGGGGGATTTTTGCTCCTTCACTCGGAAGTATAGTCGATTTTCACGTAGGGGAGTTTTCATTTGCGTCAACATGGCGGCGGCGGGGCGGCCATTTTGTTTCGGCAATGAAAAATCGCCATTTTCCAGTGAGATTTTCTCCAAGATGGCGGCGTCGGACGGATTCGCGTTCTATGGGCGGTCGTGGGGCTCGGTGGATCTTTCTACTTCACTACATTTCTACCATTTTCGTGGTAGTTTAGGAGATTTTGGGAGAAAAGTGAAATTTCGAAATACGCACTTTTCGCGGAAAACAGACTCGATGCGGTGTGGCGCCGGGGGAGCCCTATGACTTTTGGTAGTTTTCGTTTCCGCGAGCTGACAACCCTGGGCTCCACGGTAGAAAACATTTTTTCGACATGCCCTCATAACCCGAATTGTTTGGGAACCTGGGTGGCCAGCGGAGAAAATCTGTGAATGAGGTCCGCGCCAAATAGTCGTGACTATGGGAAAATTATGAAACTCGCGAAAATCAATATGGCGGCGGCGGCAGCGGCCATTTTGTGATTTTTTCACTTTTTCGAAAAATTCAAACGCACTTTTAGCTCACATGGCAACATTGTAGCTCTTCGCTTGGTAAAGACCGGTCGTTAGTCTCCGCCGGCTCCTTCGAATGAGGTGAAAATTTTTCCCGATTTTAGGGTAATTTCGGAGATTTACCCCAAAAAGGTGAAAAGTAGAAGGAGCCGTTTTGGGATTTCAAAAATGAATTTCCTCGACGGAGGGCACTCCCCGAAATAACATTTGGCCATTTTCAACGTCGACACCTGGCAACCCTGGTAGGAGCAGCGATTTGAAAAATTTTGCCCATTCTTTACTTTGTCGACTCTAGCGCAGTCGGTATTGCCACTAGGAAAATGGTAAAAAGTGCATCGGATGCGCTATGGAGTTGGCCACACCGGTACGGAGCCGGATTTTCAAAATTCAAGATGGCGGCCAAACCAGCGGCCGTTTTATCTGGAAAATTGGGTATCGTCACCGCATCGAGCCGATTTTGACGCACTTGGCGTAATTTGTCAGAATACTTCCGGGGAAAGAATTTTTAGGCAAGTAGCTGAGGTGTTGCCAAGTGAAAAAAAATCTTGAAAATTTTTGATACTTTATGAGATTTTTGAGGAAACAATTTTTGTCGAATTTTTGAACTTTTTTGATGCAAATAATTTAATTTTAACTTTTCAAGATACCCGATGGAAAAAATAGAACGATCGACTGGCTACACTGAGAGCAAACAACGTTTGAAATTC